GGTTCCTTTCCACGCTCCTCCCCAGGAGTCCGATGACTTCCACTTTTAAGCAGGAGCGATGGCTAACGGCGTGGACACGCACTCGCCTTGTCTCCCGGGTCCAGCCACTTGAAAGGGAACTCGATGGCCATGGGCACGTTGCGTCCAGGGTGGCGGGCTTTGGGCTTCTCAGGGCATCCGAGCCCCCTGTGTGGCAGCCCGCCGGTCCCCCCTTCCTCAAAACCTCCCAGCTCCTGCTGGAGCCGACGCACAGAGGGCGCCCTGTGTGCACAGGCAGAGAATTTGCCTGTGTGGGGGTGCACAATGGATCTCAGGCCTGAATTAACCCAGACACAGCTCTGGTCCCGTTTTCCCAGTTCCATGGGTTACAAGAACAAAGTTACTTAAAAAGTCTGTGGAAGAACACAATTGAAAGATCGGCTCTCTTCTATGTTGTCTGCGGCTGAGTTTGATTTTATGGAATGTTTTGACTTACAATTTCTTTTATTTAAATATAGTCAAATCATTGATTTTTTTAAACGATGTGTGGCTTCATGATTTGTTTGAAAAGTCCTTTCAGTAGCAGAAGTTACAAAAAGTCTTCTTCGTGTCCTGTTAAAACTCTGCAGCCTGGTTTGCCGACATGTTGGTCTTCGGCACGTGCGGGTTTCTTCCTGCAGTGGTGGGAGGGTGATGATGGCCCCCTCCCTCTCCCTCTGTCTCCATGGGAGCTAAACCCTAAGCCTAGCAACAAGACAGTCCGCCCCATCCGGAGCTGGGCAGAGGCCTCCTGGAGTCGTTTCTCCATGGAGGAGCTGTGAGTGGTGGAGAAGCAGGTGTGAAGCAGCCCCACTCCCAGGACTGCACCCGACTGCTGAAACAGGTCTCCAAGGAATGCGTGGACGCCCACGTTCATGGCAGCGCTGTTCACAACAGCCGCCAGTGGGTGACTGTGCACAGGGCCTGGGCCTCAACAATTATGGACGGTTGTGCAGCTGTGACAGCAATGAGCCACTGGTGCACGCTACATCAGGGCTGGGCCTTGAACACACGGTGTCAGGAAGCCGGTCTCGACAGCCCCTCTGTCGTGCGGCTCCATGTGTGTGGAGCACCTAGAACAGGTTCCTCCACAGGCACAGAAACACCTGCTGGTTGCCGGGGGGGGCGTGGGGGCGGCCGGGTGGGGGTGGAGGATGAGTGGTCTGGACCCGGACCGTGACACAGCATCGCGAATGGACTTCGTGCTGCCTGCTGGTTTGCTACAAGACGGTTAATTGTATGTTGTGTGCAACTCACCTCGATGTCAAGATTCAAAAAGCCTAAACCCCAGGTCACAGAGGCCCGCCCCCAGCACAGGGGGGACCCTCGTTCTCTCGCTCTCAGCCTCTTGCTACGACTCAGGGCTTGGTCGTGTGCGTCACCTCCACGCGGGAGCAGGGTGAGAGCGAGCTCGCACCGCCGGCCTCTGTCTCGCTGGAGATGAGTGTCCTCTGCATGTTCTCTTCCAGGCTATTTTGTCACAGACCTGGCCAGGGGAGCGAGAGGTAGAGTAGGACCTGGGCCCCAGCCTGGGCAGGCCCCTCGGAGGCCAGGCAGACTGGAGTCCTGGCCGACTGGAGTCCAGTCCAGGCCAGACTGGAGCGGGGTGCCGCCCAGGCCTGGCTGGCTTCTGACCACGTGTCCGAGTTTCCAGCAGAGATAAGAGCTCTTGGCGTTGTGTTCCTTGAGCCTAGGTGTCATGGGCTGGTCCCCAGCTGTCCACAGGGCCTGCTCCAGCCCTCAGGACAGCCCCGTCGTTGGGTAAACTGTCCTCTGTGGGGCCCAGCATGCAGCACGCCGGCTGCACGGCCTGGCACCTTGGCTGCGTTTTAGTCTAGAACAGGCTCCTTCGTCTGAGGAGAGGGGCGGTCTCAGCTGATGCTGCGACACCGAGTACCCCATCCTCCCGAGGCGGTGAGACCCGAGACAGGGTGTGGCGGCTCTGAGTGCCCAGGACAGAGGCCACGAGGGAGGCGCGGGGCACGGGCTCAGCGTGCACGCGAGTGAGTGTTACGGAGCGAGGAGTCGCTGCACCGGCTGTGGGGAAAGGCAGGGCCCCGTTCTGCGGCCTCCCGGCGAGGAGACCCAGGCTCAGCTCTGCCTCCAGACCTGGGCCTGGGCCTGGGCCGGGGACAGGTTCCCTGGGGTAGGGAGGGTCAGCTCGGGAGCCTGGCGGGGGCAAGTTCCCACAGGGTGCTGGATTTTCCTGGTCATGGGCCCATGAGCCTCTCCCTGTGCGCCTCTTAAAAACCATTTATTTGAAAGGCAGAGTAACAGGGTCGGACAGATGGTCCATTGGTTTGCTGGTTCACTCCCCAAAATGGCTGCTGCAATGAGCAGGCGGGGCCAGGCTGAAGCCGGGAGCCTGGAGCTCCATCCGGGTCTCCCAGGGCAGGGCCCAAGCGCTGGCGTCACCTCCCCTGCCTGGTCAAGCACATTAGCAGGGAGCTGGATCCGCTGTGGAGCAGCCAGGGCTCAACAGGCGACGCCCACGTCGCTGGGCACAGCGCCGACCCCGGGGCTTCTGAAAGGGTTCTGGGTTTGGGTTCTGCCATGCTCTGGCCTCGGCTCCATCAGGAGGACACAGCACTCACGGCCTCCTCCTCGCTGGCCGGCTCTGCGGACCGAGGCCAAGGCCTCGCGTGGGCTCCGCCCTCGGTGGTGTCCGCAGTGTCAGGGCTCCTGGGATCCAGCCAACACCAGACAGAGGCAGTCCCTGCAGCCGGCAAATGCGGCTCCTGCGGCGCCTGGGGAAACCGCCCCCTTGTCCTCAGCCACGCCATCCTCCTGGTCCTCTGCTGACATCTGGTGGCGCGGGCGCAGATCACCAAGGGACCGGCTCAGACTCAGGGCACAGGCGCGGGCGCGGTCAGTCAGCCTGGGCTGCAGAGGCCGAGGAGGAGCGGGGGATTGGGGGGGAGCGGCCCCACCCCCTGCCCCACGTCTCCGTGCACATTTTAACTTGATCATTTGGAGAGTCGTGAAGCTTCGTGGTGCCGTCTGCTGGGTCCCGTCTGCGTCCGCCTTTACGCCCGGGAGCTGGGGCAGAGCTGTACTGAGGTGGACTTGGGATCCAGCCAGGCTCCACTAGGAGCCCCACAGACCCCAGAGGAGGGCCAGAGGTCCTGCCCCCGCCAGGTGTCATGGCTACTGTGGCCTGTGCCTGGGGCGACCACACCCTCGGTTGCAGAAGAGGAAGTTGAGGCTGATGGCCCCAGGCCTTGCTCAAGCCTGGCTGCAGGGCAGGGCCTCCGTCCCAGCCCTGTGGGAGGTGGGAGTGAGCAGCGCTGGACAGCCCTGCAAAGCTTGGGCTCTTCCAAACCCACGTGCCGCCGTCACCCGGGACTGCCAGCCACCGTCACCTGGGACTGCCAGCCGCCGTCACCCGGGACTGCCAGCCCCTGCCTGCGACTGTCGGAATGTGCAGTCTGCGAGACACTGCCTCCCAGGACACGGCCCAGGGAGCCAGAGCCGGATCCCCCGGGCGCTCAGAGGCCTCCAGGGTCAAGTCCAGCTTGGCCATCCTGCCTGGAAAGCCCAGTGCCCGGAGGTCACCAGTGTCTCCTGTGTCCCTGGACTCGCTTTCTGACCTGTAACAGACCCAGTGCACACTCGTACTCCCGAACGGCCATCGGCCACAGGCCAACATTCCTGATGCCTTGCGTCAGACTGACAGGACCCAGGGACCTTTGTGTGGCCGTTCGCACTTACTTCCGGCAGACGCACCTGCTCCTGACAGGTGTCTACCTCATGGTGTACACAGGGGGGCGTTGTCAGCTCCGTGTTTTGTGTCGTCACAGCCGCAGCCGGGGCCGCCATGGGGGCGGCACAGTCCTGCTGGCTGAGTTCAGTAGCGACGGGGCTGCTCCCTTCCCTGCCGCTTCCTCCTCCCACCTCCGCCCAGAAGCTCCCAGGGGGAGGGGGCCCCGGGGGAGTCCTCTCTGCTAATCCCCTGGGCTGGAGAAGAGCAGGAAGGACCCAGGTCCTCGGAGTTGGGTGCTCCCTTGTCCCTGACTGCCCGGGCTTGGCTCAAGAGCCCTGTGAAGGGGAGACATAGAGGAGGGGGCCGGCCAGGCGGGGAGAGGCACAGAGGCCCAAGGGGGCAGCACGCTGGCAAAACGGTGGGCGAATCATCTAACCCTAGAGTCGCTCCTGACTCGCTTTAATTGACTTTCTCCTCAGTGCTGGTCTAAAGTGGAGAGGAAGGAAGTGAGGGGGAGGGACTCTTGCGCCATCGCTCATTTGTGTTTTAGCAAATAGAAGCCAAGGAAGAAAGGACAGGAGAGAGATGCGGCTGGTAAAATAACAACAACAACAATAATAATAATCTAAAAAGCCCATGGGTGAAAGAAGGAAACGCAGGCGTGCAGTTGTGTGCAGGGGCAGGGGTAGGACAGCCAGAGGGTCTCCCCCAGGGGTCCTGGAACCGCCACTCAGTGAAGCCCAGGTGGTCTCCCGGCTGCCCCAGCCACAAGGAGTGGGGAGGCGGGCAGGGGCCCCGGCTGGCTGTGTCTCTGGCGCCACGACTAACCATGCCGGAGTTGCACAAGGCCTGTGTGAGCAATTGCAGATTCCTGTTAGGTTCACGGCTGACAGCAGCCGGACGGAGCACCGTCCCCGGAAGACGCCGCCGCGCTGCCAGCCCCGGGCGGCGGCCACTGGCGTCAGTTCTGGGCCGGCCATGGCAGCGCCAGCAGGGCCTCCTGTGTCCGTTGAGTTTTGAGGCTGACGATGGGCATGGCATCACTTCCTCCGGCTCGGTGTTACAAGTTGCACCGGAGGGCAAGTTCCCCTCTCGGCTTCCCCGACGGGCTTGGCGAACGCGGCAGCCGCCCTCCGCGCACAACCATGTGGCGCTTGATGTTTAGACACAAAAAGCTCACGGGCAGGGTGGGTGTCCGCCGGGGGGTCCTCGGCAGCCGTGGCTCCCTGTAAGCCCGCCCGCGACTAAACGGTTTCTCTCCCACGTTCTGCTTTTCCAGGGCAAGGGGGAGGTGACCGTGGCCGAGGCGCCGTCAGCAGCGTCGGTACAGGTAAGAGGCGTGCTGCGGTTGGCTTTCCTCCAGGCCGTGCAGTTTTAGAAGGACGCCCGATGGGAGGTCGGTTTTCCCTTGCCGTCTGGTTTTATTCGGTCCGAAGCCCAGCGAAGCAAGCTGTGGTGTGCTTTCAGAATTGTGGCCCTGGAAAGCAAGTGAACGGAGCAGTGGGCACTCGCCAGGGTTGTGCCATCCCGGCTTTGCACAGTAGGGGTCGGCCTCGTGTGCCGAGTGGGCTCATGGCAGGATTGTTGTTTGATGCTGAAGCTGTGTGACCCAGGGAGACACCACATACACACACACACATACACAGACACACAGACACACAGACACACAGACACACACAACATACACATACAGATACACACAAACAGACACACACAGACACACATACACATGCACACAGACATGCGGACACACATACACACACATGGACACACAGACACACACACAGCATACACACAGATACACACGCAGACACACATACACATACACACAGACATGCAGACATACATACACACACATACACACATTCACACAGACACACACAGACATACACACATACACAGACACACACACACATACACACACAACATACACATACAGACACACATACGCACAGACATGCGGACACACATACACACACATGCACACACAGACACACAGACACACACAGCATACACATAGATACACACGCAGACACACATACACATACACACAGACATGCAGACACATAGACATAGACACACAGACACACATGTACACATACACGCAACATACACACACAGACACACACAACATACACACAGATACACACGCAGACACACATACACATACACACAGACATGCAGACACACATACACACACATACACACACATACACACAGACATGCAGATGCACATACACACACATACACACAGACACACAAATACACACACAACATACACATACAGACACACACAACATACACACATGGACACACATACACACACATATACACACACAACATACACACGGACACACATACACACAAACATACACGCACACACACACACACACACGGTTTCGTGTGTTACGTCCCTGCAAGCTTCGAGTATTGCGTGCCCTTGCCCTCACTGGTTTTAGGGGCAAAAGTGCCCACTTAGCTGGACAAGGCATGGGCGTGGGCGTGGGGGCCGGGCGGGGGCCGGAGCTGGCCCTGGGTGGGGTCTGCTCGGGGGTCTGGGCTTGGTGGGTGCAGTTTCCAGCCCTCACAGCAGGTGGTGACGGCGCCTCCTGTTGTGTGGGTTTCACTGAGGCTGCGTCGGTGTGGACAGCACTTTCTTGCCTGTGGTCAGTGCTTGCCCCCCCCCCCCCCCGCCGCCGCCGCCACCAGCAGCAGTGACGCCGCAGGCCTTGTGGTGCCAGGCGAGATCTTCACGGTGGGAATGGAAGGGAAAATGCATCATCCCGTGTTGGCACCAAACAGGCCTTAGGATGTCGGGCGTGGCTAGGCTCACGTGGACCCCTGTGGCTGCACGGAGCTGCCCTGTGGTTCACATCAAGCAAAACCACTCCCGAGTTTCTGGCAGATTCCCTGAAGCTAAAAGGAGGAGGAGGAGGCCTCCCAGGGCGCCCTGTCAGGGTGGTGATCGACGCACGGCCAGGGGAGGCGGGATCTGCACACACAATGGACAGACGCACACACACTCTTTGAGTCCTGCCCGTGTGGCCCCGCAGGCACCTGCGGGGAGAGGCGGAGCCCCAGCTGCTCCAGGCAGCCAGGTCCCGCAGGGCTGTGTCCTGGAATTCAGCTGGGTCATCCAGCCGATGGCACTCAGCGCCAAAACCACTTAGCAACTGTTCCGCGATTTGCCCTCGAGGCCCTGCTGTCTGAGTCGGGCGTATTTCCATCCAGTCTGACACGAAGAATTGGGTTGGATACGAGATTCCTGATGCCGTTTTGTGTGTCATTGGATTTTCTTACTAGACGTAAAAAGTGTGTCCACACTGTAGGGTTAATGCTACCTGATGTATGGACGTGTAGTCTCCAGGGGTGACCCTCGGCCTGGCCGAGGAGGAGTCCAGCCCGGGCTGAGCTGCTGTGTGCCTAGCGGTAGAGTGGACCAGGGCAAGGGACAGGAAGGGGCCTGCGGGCGAGGAGGGATGGGTGGGCACTGGCATGCCTTCAGAGCCGCAACCTCCTCCAAGGGCCGTGGGCTGGGCCCAGAGAGCCTCTGCTACTTCCCACCCCGTCCGGGTCACGGCCTGGAGTGACCCAGGGCAGCATGACCGCCCGGAGTGACCCAGGGCAGCATGACCGCCTCTCCCCGCTGGGAGCCCGCAGCCGGCTCACCTGGAGTCCAGCAGACAGGAGCCGAGCGTGCAGGTGAGGGCCCCAGGCTCAGTCTGGTTACTACGGCAACATCACGCGGCATCTCTGCCTCCCTCCCCTCCCCCACAGTGTGTATCCTCAGTAAGACTCCATCACAGTTTATGTGGGATACATTGTTTCACCACATGGGGCGATTTCAGCATCTCCTGGCCACAGGAGCCAGCAGGTGCCGCTCAGCTTTGGGGGAACCCAAGGCTGAGTCCCCACAGCTACCGTGAAAGATGTGACGGGGTGAACCCAGCGACTCGTGTCTTTCATGTGTTTTACTTCATGAAAGCTACATGTAGCCTCCAGCTTAACAGCTAATCTCACTTCCTCTTTTTCTATCACTAGCGGATTTTACAGAAAGACATTTTGAAAACGAAACGAACAGGTTATAAATCCAAGGGGAGGATGATTTGTCCGCACGCCCGGCCTCCCCCAGCCCAGAGGGCAGTGCACCTGGAGAAGTCCCTGCCCTCTGGAGGCTGTCTGACCCCTCTCCTGTGGCTGGCACACACCTGCCCCACTCGGTGCGGCTCCACAGTCCACTGGGCTGTTGACTCGGTGGGACTCCAGCAAAGAAAATGCCCCCATCTCCTGCTAATTGAAGCAGAGCAGTGTGGCCACTCTCGATGATCGCAGTTCATAAATGGAGGCCAAGGGTGTGATCTTACAGAGAAAAAGGCAGACTACACAGTCTGCAGTAAGAAGAGAGAGATCACTGCATGGCTAGAGCATGTCGGGAGACCTGTGGTGTGCCTGACCCATGCGTGACGCAGGCCCCCCCACCATGGTGACATCAGGGAGGGTTGATGCAGGCCCCCGGCCATGGTGACGTCAGGGAGGGTCGATGCAGGCCCCCTGGCCATGGTGACGTCAGGGAGGGTCGATGCAGGCCCCCCCACCATGGTGACGTCAGGGAGGGTTGATGCAGGCCCCCTGGCCATGGTGACGTCAGGGAGGGTCGATGCAGGCCCCCCACCATGGTGACATCAGGGGAAGGTTGATGCAGGCCCCCCCACCATGGTGACCTCAGGGAGGGTTGATGCAGGCCCCCTGGCCATGGTGACGTCAGGGAGGGTCGATGCAGGCCCCCTGGCCATGGTGACGTCAGGGAGGGTCGATGCAGGTCCCCTGGCCATGGTGACGTCAGGGAGGGTCGATGCAGGCCCCCTGGCCATGGTGACGTCAGGGAGGGTCGATGCAGGCCCCCTGGCCATGGTGACATCAGGGGAGGGTTGATGCAGGCCCCCCCACCATGGTGACATCAGGGAGGGTTGATGCAGGTCCCCTGGCCATGATGTCATCAGAGGAGGGTTGATGCTGGCCCCCCGGCCATGGTGACATCAGGGGAGGGTCTGACACAGGCTCGTCGGCTGTGGTCTGACAGCAGGGGAGGGGTGCATTTTGGTGTTGTTTTTAATTATTAATTTGTGGAAAGTTATGCTCTCGTCACATTCCTTCTAAACAAATAATATAGTGAATGACTCAGGCCCAACTCTGAAAAGCAGCTCAGAGCTGCAGGGCTGCGACAGGCCTGGGTGGACGCCCAGTACCGCTGGACTTGAGAGGCAGCATCGGGGGGGCTCGTGATGGCTGCAGCCACCATTGGAGGGGCAGGCTAGCTTTGGGTGGAATCCGTCCCTGGACGTGGGCAAGTTTCTCCTGTGCTCCGCCGTCTGAACCCCGTCGGTCTCCCCTCTCTTCACCGTGAACCCCGTCGGTCTCCCCTCTCTTCACCGTGAACCCCGTCGGTCTCCCCTCTCTTCACCGTGAACCCCGTCGGTCTCCTCTCTCTTCACCGTGAACCCCGTCGGTCTCCTCTCTCTTCACCGTGAACCCCGTTGGTCTCCTCTCTCTTCACCGTGAACCCCGTTGGTCTCCTCTGCTCCGCCAGCCAGCCCTGCGCCTGACCCCGAGGAGACCGTCCTGTTTCCCTCGCTTGCTCGTCAATCATTTCTCCCTCCCCCCTCGGATCCTGAAGCAGTGACACGGCAGTCACAGGTGCATTTTGCTTTCTGATGGAGTGGACAATGCGGAGGGGACAGGGGACAGTGACACGTGGGTGAAGCCTAGGGCACGGGGGACACCCTCCGATGCTTCAGTCTGATTTGGAAATTTTGCCACGGAGGTGACAGTTCATGTGGGATGGCCAAGCCGCCCCCCGGCTGGGGCAGCCCGTGCTGCAGGAGACTCCGAGGAGACACAGGTGGGGCGTGGGCCTGCTTGTCGGGGGGAGCGTGTGAGCACCCAGGGAGGGTGGGCACAGTGGGTGCAGGAAGCACTGCAGGAAGTGTCCAGACCAGGGTGGCGGCAGGAGCTAACTTCAGCCGACAAGGAGCACATCCAACCTGGCGCTCTCCCACCCTGAGCAATGTGGAGGCCAACACCGCCCACCCCGGGTGCCCCACTGGTGCCGCCCACGGAGCGCTCCTCACTGGGCGCCCCTGCAGGACTCAGGCACGTTCCGCGCTAGGAGAGTTCACACTTTAACCTCTCCTCCTGGGGGTGGGTGTTAGGGCATGGTGAGGAGCCGCGTGGGCACCCATGCTCCAGATTACGGTGCCTGGGTTCAGGCGCTGCTTCTGCTTCCTGTCCCAGGGCTCAGTGGTGATGGCCCACACACGTGGGTCCCTGTCG